TCACCTGAGAATTATATTATCAGGATGATCTCGCATGAATTAATATACGTGCCAAGGATTTATGGACGATTATTACAGGATCGTTCATTTTCGAAGCCCATTCGTGGACCGTTCATTTTTCGCCACAGATTATCATGCTCCCGTTATACATTCCGCGAATTCTGCCGGTCGTTGTTTGCCACCATTAAGTTGGCTTGTTTGGGATCCTACCGTGTTACACCGGGTGACTCAAAATTTCAAAAGATTGCGCCTTTCGCACCTTTTAACTTAAGGTTCTACATCTTCCAATTTAAATATCTCACAGATCTTTAAATAAATCTTTAGAATTTTTAGAATTCTTTAGAATCTTTCAAGGTTTTTAAATTTTCAAAAATTTTTGGAACAAAATATATTCTGTAGTTTCTAATTCTGACATAATAAGTGTTTATGTGAATATTTGTGATATTATCTAGATTTTTAAATATGTATTTCTTTTTTACATATGTCAAGAATTTTTATACATAAAAATTGTAATATTTTTCTACAATAATTTATGAAATTTATAATGAAGAAAGGTTCTCTATAATTCTACCAACTATTATTTTATTATTTTTAGTTATTCGTAATTTTAATATTATTTTCACTTAATTTTATATTCCTTTAATTTAATTTTAATATTGCTCTAATCACAAGAGCTATCCTTTATTCGCTACTGCATAATTTGCTATTAAACGATTTCTAGAGCGAGAGCGTAAATCAAGCGAATAATTTTTGTTGACAAAAAATTCGAATTATATCGCGGACTAAATTGATGTACGTTCTCAGCAGTGAGTTTAATTAAAACCCGCGAGGCAAACTGTAATCTGTACTAATCACAAAATTGATCCGCTACGCTTTCGTTTTGCGCAAAATTTCTTTCCTCGCATCAGACAAAAGGGCCGTCAACCTGGCTTTCCGAAATTCCGCGAAAGGGTTAACGCTGGTTTATAGAGACCGTAATTGTTAACTTATGCCGGAACCGGTAAAGTTCAATATATTCAATTTCAATGCATCTGTTTATGCTTTCAGCGTGAACAGAAGCATTGAAATTCCAATATTGAACTTTACCGGTTCCGGTATAAGTTAACAATTAATTACGGCCTCTATAAATAAGCCTTTACGTGACAATGCGATGTTAATTAAATTTTCCCGTGACACTGTAAATCAAACAATTAGCATACACGTAAAACGTTACGTTTCCGATCTATATAAGTTTATTTAATCGAACCAAGGGAATGTATAAACATATACGCGAATTCAATACTGCGAGTTAATTTATTTATATTTTATTAAAAATAATTAATAGTGTGTTGATATAAAAATAAATAATAGTTTAATGAAATTCTGTACCTTCAAGTTGCGATAGATTTTGCTTTCGGTCAACGTCAAAATTGATCTCATTTATTTGTATAAATTTTAATCATTTTCAAAATTTTAAATCTTCTAAATTTAAAGAATCTTAGTATTTACATTTTATGGATGTGCTATGCACCTTTTTTGATAGCTAAGTAGGCCGACAGCTTAAAAAATACATACATTTTAAGCTCTATTCGTGTAAGCAATTTTAAACTCGCGCAGTTGTAATTTCGGAATTGCTATATCCAATTGGTCAGAATCAATTGGATGCGCTGACTAGAGACCGAATTCGTTTCACTATTTTGGAGCTGAGGAATCGGCTAATTGCAGATCTTAACGAGCATCGGTCTGTCCACCTGCTGCTTCCATTTCCGGGATACGATGCGAACATTGTGCATCTTCTTTCTCAAAGAGCCTTAGAAAATCGGAGGTTAGGCTCATTATGTAAGATTTCCTCTAATTTTTTTCTTTTTCAAACACGAAAAACTCCCAAAAATTATTTAAGTTAGAAAATATTTAAAAACATAGAGAAGGCGCGAATGATTTTTCATACTTTTTTGCTCCACTTTCGGAATTTTTGATATAATCGAAATGAGATATCGATAGATGTGATTTATAAAAATAATTTATCTATGCGTAGCAGGTAAACGCGACGACTGTTTAGATATTAGGTAGAAAAAGTCCGGAAGACATGAATCATCTAAAAATAATCAGTCCGTTCAGGTTGTCTGATTCTACTTCGAGATTGCGGCATTTCCAAAAGAAGTTTATATGTACTTTCTTGCTGTTTTCACTGGGCAGACAGTTTTCGCTCGTTTGCATCAACTCGTTAAGTATCATAATTTCACTTTTTTTCGTGATTAATTTATTAATTTAGCAAAGACATCTTATAAAAAAGCAATGAAGAAATTATCGGATAAATTTAATGTAAAAGTTAATTACGATTATATGTATAATAACGAGAAAAGAAATCTGAATAATAAATTTCGAGACAGTATTTAATTAAATTTCAATTTTATTATTATCTTGAATTTTAATTATACGCAATTACTATACAATGTTATGTAATGCTATGATTATAACAAAAAATGGAAAAAATCTGAATAATAAATTATGACAAGATTTAGTCAGATTTTTAAATAAATTGATATCATTAATTTTAAATGCGTCTTTAATAGTTCTATATAACATTTTTTCTTAGAACAGACAAATATATAATGTATTATTTTGACGGTCAATCTCATGATATTAAAGACAGAAAAGAAGATGTATATAAGGAAAAAGGAGAGTGTCTTCCCATGATGACACTCCTTTTCTGTTATTCTGTTTTCTCCTTCAAGAACCGCAGAAGCGAAGACGTTACCATAAGAGGACATCTCTTGATCTCTGGATTTCTCTCTCTCTCTCTCTCTCTCTTTCTCTCTCTGTCTCTCTTTCTCTATCTCCCTCCTCCTTGCTTTCTTTGCTCCTTCTTTTCATTCTGGAACCGCAGACTCGCGGGTCCTAGAGATATTCCGAGGAAAATTGTCTTTACGAATGCTTGTAGTTTGTGAATAACAAATGACAATTAACAATCGAAGTTAACTAATTCTATTTTGGACCAAACTTGTTTTATTCACTACATTATATTTTTTTTAAGGCAATTGTCAAAAATTTCAATATTTAAAAGCAATAAATATATATGTAAATTTTAACAAATAAACTTTTTTATTTAACAATCAAAGTTGATATAAAGTCGACATTAATTTATTTTTCAATTATATTATATTATAAAATTATTTGAGAAACTTGATTGAAAGTTGCTCTCTCGAGAATTAAGATTCAAGGAGGCAATATAATTAAATGAATTTAATTTTTTAATACCGATTATAAACTGTGTTATTTATAATTATTCCCGTTGTGTATAAGATTTAACTCATCTAAAATATAAAATAAAAATTGTGAAAATAACATTACAAAACGAACAAAATCTGCTAATTGTAAGATTAATTAAAGAAAAGCGCAACTCGAGATTATCATAAAGCATGATCCATGTACACGATTCTTCATCGGTGGCGTTTCATCCGATGACAATCTTACGAGGAGACAACGGAATGCACATTAAAAAACACCATCGAGCCATTTATGGCTGTCATCTTGCCAGGATAACTCGAAACCGCGAACGTCGCCTTTTGCGGCTTGCCGCGGCTTCTTTTGGAGATATCCTTCTTCAAGTCTAATGGAGAGAGGTGAATCGTGATAAGAATTTATGTTTCGATGCGCTCTTGTAGCGTTGCGTTCGATATCTGTGTCATTTAAATAACCGAAGTCTTGCGTCAGTTTTTCGCGTAATATAGCGTATTCCAATCAAATTGTCAAAGAAAGAACAAAATTATGAAATTAAAAATACAAATTAAAAACACACAATATTTTAAATATCATTCACTCGATTAAAGTTTGTGTATCAATGTTTATTAAAATTTTATTAAATTTTATAGTTCTTTTATATTTCTTTTTATATTACTTATTGTTTATCTAATGTTTCTTTAATTTTTTGAATCCGAAATTATATTTTTTTTACTTGTTTTTTATTTGTCATGAGATTTTACGAGAAAAATTCTTTCTAAATTCAACTCCTTTAACTTCACCTAAGAATGTATAAATTAGATACGTCTATCTACCTTTATCTTTTCTCGTTAACTCTTTCATTTACGCTACTTTTCTCAGCTAGATATAAGTATAGAGTAATATCTGTATTCTTGTGACCGAGTGAATCATCGGCTTTCTCATGCCACCCTGTCGTACCTCGGCGCAGTTCGTTTTCTGGGCAAAAGCTGGGGTCGAGAACAATGGAAACGGGAGAAGTCGGTGGGCACGCGTGTGCAAGGTAGACACGGCCGCGACGGTCACGTTTCGCTCTCGCATTATGTGTGCATCATGGTACACCGTGTGGAAAACCAGCATTAGCTTATTGTATATGCACCTCCCACAAAGATATTCTTCCTGTATTCTTCCGCCTTTGCCTTTCCTCCTGTTCTACAGCAGAATGATGCTTGTTCGAGAACCCTTGATCATAAAGCTGATTCTTTTTAGATAACAAATACGCCTCTTAAATGGTCAATTATACGCATTTCAGCAAATTAATAGAGAAATGACCAGAATTTTCGCTTTTCATAAATCTTGATAAAAAATATACGTATTATTTTATTGATAAAATGATGCGTATTCAAGACTTGGAAATATTAATTTGGATTCTGTACTGATTAAGTATAAAGGAAATAATTGTATAAAGTATATAATAATTGTATATATATATATATATATATATATATATATATATACAATATATATATATATATATATATATATATATATATATTTATTTATTTATTTATTTATTTATTTCTAGAATAATAATTTTCTATTTATCTGTCTTTTTCCATAATATATAACTTTTGCAAAGTTATATATTATGGAAAAAGACAGATAAATAGAAAATTATTATTCTAGAAATAAATAAATAAATAAATCTCTCTAATAATTATTAGAGAGATTGTGAAAACAGCTATTGAGGAGATACGACGAGAGTCGTCTATTCTAAAACCGGAAAACGATCAATGACAAAAGTTCCGCTTATGTATGCACAGGTCGAAAACGTGAGCTTGTGTGTGGGAGCACTGCGAGCTCTAGGAGCGGACGTGGGTGCCGTGAACCCGGGCGAATTGGCGGCAGGATCAACCCTGTGGCCAGTCCTGGCTTTACTCTTCGCCTTGTCGCGCTACAAACAACGAGCCAAGCAATTACAGGACATGCCCAAGTGAGTGGATTATGCTTTTTCGAAAATTATTAATAATCATTGATAATGATTGATAAATTGATGAATATGTAATAGATATTAAAAAGAGATATTGTAATTTTTCGAAAAGTTTTGAAAATATTTATAATTCCGAGGACTTTTTGACTCACTAAATGAAACATTTTAAAGTATTAGATTCAAGACTTTACAAACTATTAAAGTATGAATTTCTTTAAGATTTAAAATTTTTTTGAAGTATAAAGTTTTAAAAAAGAGAGATTTGCAAATTTTGCAAATTTTTGTAAAATTTAAACTTAAATTTCATTCTCTTTCAATTTCGTATTTCGAATTTAGATTTCTAGATTCTTAGTTCTGTGATCTAGAGATTGTAAGCTCACGTTTTCGACGTGTGTACACATGTATTATTAATTTTACAATTAGATTAATTTCTTATCTTTGAAGTTCTTGTGTCGAATTCCTTTCGCTATATCGATAGTGGATAATATCGGTTTCTGGTTCTTCGGCCATTGGAAATCAAATATGATGGTTTCCTGCACAATCTAACGTCGGTAAAATAGCGATTCATGAATTCATGAATACCTGTGGTAGATATTTAAATCTGTCGTAATAGTCGTTGGTACGTATCTATCATATTTTGATAAATTATTTTAATATCTTTTTGTTGATAATTACACGATATTAACAATAACATTACGCAGCAATATGGAAAAATTGCAACGACACGTTCATTTATTATCGAACTAATTATAAGCATAATTTATTCAATACATTCATCAGCGATTATTAGTTCATAAAATTAGAGTTATATCGAATCGGAATAAACGTCGACTCGGCCAATCTTTCATGTAGTCTTTTACGAGCTGAGACAGACATCTCGTAAATCAGAAGAGATGTTTTAATGGCACCAAACGTCAAGAGATAACTTTTAAGCGCGATTTGCGCAAATAAATTAAATTTTATTCATCAATCCCCAAAACTTATCGTCACTTGGAAGTCACTTCTGACTGCAAATGTGAATTATTATGATTCTATAAAACCGATTAAATTAAGTTAAGTTCGTGGATTAATGCGCCATATAATGTCTGACGCATTAATCCACGAAAAAGAAACGGAAAAGAACTTTGCTGCCTCGTATAAGAAATTTTTATTGTAAGTGTATTAACACTCACGCTTTAGGTGAGCCATGATAGATTAATGAGTTTATATTTGTCGGATACAGATATTAGCGGATTTTAAAATTTTATTTTAAAGAGATGCTTTTTTTAAATTTTAGACTATATACAGAAATTTAATATTGAATTTTTCGAGTACTTGCGTACTTCAATTAATACCTTAATTATTAATCGCGTACTTTAATTGCAATTTTTAATTGCATATTTTAATTGGATAATTACACTGAAAAAAAGTAATATTGAATTAACAACATTAGTGTAATTGGAATTTATTTTATTAATTCAATAATATTATTAATCAAATCAATACATGGTATATTGATTTGATTAAAAATGTTATTGAATTAATAAAATAAATTCCAATTACACTGATGTTTTGTTAATTCAACATTACTTTTTTTTCAGTGTAATAAATGTATTAATATATAAATATAATATATATTTAACATTACAAAATTAGATGTTAAAATTATATAATTTTAATTGAAATTTATTGATAATTTATTGATTTAAATGTAATCAAGTATATTTTTTAATGATATTTTCTGCTTCGTATTAAAGATTTATTTATTTGCTTATTGCTAAAGTTTTCGATTTTAGCTTGTTATATTTACAATTTAGAGAAACTACAATCAAAAGTACAAGCTCTACATTTTTTCAAATACAATTTATTTATTTTTCTATAATTTTTTCTAATTAAATTTTTTTTCTTTTTTTTTCATTTTATTGAAAATTAAGTGTTGTTTAAAAATTTAATGTTTTATATAATTTATATGAATTTTACACATTTAGTGTGGCTTTTATATCTTGCAACGACTCGAGGTCCATATTCGAGAGTCTTGTTTCCTGTCGCGCAGTCGAATCGATACCGACGTCCTGTCGGCCTGCAGCGGCGTTCATTAACGTCCGCGTTAATCAACCACTAGTATCTCCCTCATTCTTCCTCTCTCATTCTGCCTCTTTCTCGTCTGCTTCCATGCATTATCGACATCGAGTAAAGCATATAGTTACATCAGTATTTCGGCACGCAGAAAATGTGTTTTACAAGCGAGAACGAGGAAATTCAAATAATTTTAATTACTCCGCGGTTAATTGCGGCAGCCGAGAAAAGAGAAAGAGGAAATGAAAGAAGGGAGAGAGAAAAAGAGAAAAAAAGGGAGAGAAAGAGAGAGAGAGGGAGAAGACAGTATATTTATTATCGATGAAAAATTCTTTCAAACATAAATTAATTTTCAGTAAAAAAATAATAACAAAATTTGATAAAAATAATTGAAATAAAAATAAATTGGGTAAATAAATGGAATAAATAGTATAGGAAGTAGCATGGAAAAATCTCAAGTGTAATGGAAAATATTAATAAAAAGTATAATTTTGTGTGAGAATTAAAGAAGAAACGCGAAATTCAAAAGGATAAAAAAAACGCGAAATTCAAAAGGATAAAAAATTTTTGTTAATGCGGTATATATGCATCCATACATGTAAGGATGGCGAACGTTTCAACTGTCAAGGTCGATACTTTCAACTGGGCAATAAATTACTTGAATGAAGAACGATTCAAGTAACGCAAAGTTATTTATATCGAAGTTGTTACATTTTCGCAATCCTATTCGAAAATATATTCGTTCGAATTGAGGACTAATTGTTTCACAGAAACAGTTTTATATTATACTTTTAATTTATAATTTCCTCCATTCCATTATTGTTTTTAATTTTATCTAGTATTGAGAAACATAAAGAATACACATTGTATTAAAATCTGTTTTCTAATAAGAAAGTTTAAGTTTAAGCTTCTACTCTAACTTTTTTCAGCCTCTTGTCAATCAAAATAAGCATCATATTTAAGAGGCGAAAATAAATATGATGAAATTAATATGAAATATAGCAACTCTAGACTTTAATCTAAAAATTGCAAAGAATTGCGAAATATTAGGAAATACTTGTGTTTGAACTAAAAATTTCGTCATTTACTAGAGACAAAATAACGGAAACGAAATAGAAAGAAATCTCTTTCAAGCAAAAGGGGAATTCGGAGCCTGGATCTAATGGAGCGCGTAACGATTCTTCGAGCGAAAGAAACGCGAGGCCGAGGTCCTCGAACGGACCGCGCGCGTACATTAACATATTAACAATGCTCCATTATGCCCGAGTGTATACCTAGTCCCCTGCGTAGGCGTGTTATGGACCACTCTCGAGACCGCGGAGCGCACACACATTCGGAGTCTCGAAACGTGTAGACAGTGTACGGAACATGCTCCGAAACGAAAACACTTTAACGAATATGGAGTTATATATTTCGTATTTTTTCGAAAGAAAGAGTTATGATAATTTTTCCATTATGTACATATTTCAAAATTTTTTAATTCATCAGTACAATAAATAATAATTCAATTTATCGAATAAAATAAATATCTCATCATGTGAAATGTTTCTGATAGTTTTATTGGAGTAAAGATATCTTTATAGAAATTGACAAAGCGAGTTTATCGATTTATATTGATTAATATTGATGCTATTTTGCCAGAAAAAATTTTCTCTTTTAATTTATACACTTATTACTGAGAAATTATTCAAAGCTCTTTATTGAAATCAAAACTAATTGTTTCAATTTTGCTGCTAAATGTGTGTCTTATATATAATTCAATGCATTCTAAAATACATATCAAGAGCAAAAAGAGGAAAAGAGAGAGAGAGAGAGCGTATTGATTCAATACTCAAATTTCAATTTAAAAACGCGAGGTAAAAATTGTGAGGACGAGCAAAGGTAAAGACGAGCGAGGGTCAAAGCTGACGAAAAAATTTCTCATACACATGCCTACACACATCTCGTTAGAATGTACGCAACACAATATATCCGTGGCACACAATCATGCGTGCACGTGCACGCCGGAGCATTAGCATAAAAATGGTTTAAAAATCCGTCAAGCGTGCCACCAGCATTGGCCGGTTCCCGGGGAAGACTGGGCCCGCTATTGGTTAGCTGCGTACGGCTGAAGAGAAGAGGGGTCGGAGAGAATGGGCTTTAGAGAGGCTGCGAGAGCTAAAACGAGTGAGAGAAAGATTAAGAGAGATGAAAATGGAATGAGATTGCGCGAGAAAGAGAGAGAGAGAGAAGAGAATGGTTAACAAGGAACAAGGACCGATCCTGCGAGGGTGTATCGAAAGGAAAGAGAAAGGGATAAAAAAAGAGAGAAAGAGAAGGTAAGATACAGGAGGGTGCGAGAAGGTGCTATAGTCAAAGGAGCACAACGGCACCGGAGTATACGGCAGAGAGAGGTTCCAGATCCAGCTAAACGACAGGAAGGTGCAAGAGAGGCGGACGAAATAAAGTACGATACAAAATGATGAGGGAGAGCGAAAGAGAGAGACGCAGCAGAAGGGAAACAGCATGTATCTGCATGGGGAAGCCAGTATGACCTGAAAGGGGCTAGAAGGTGAACAGCGGAGCAACAGAGACGGCGATGGTAAAAGAGGAGAAGCAGGGGTCGGGTAAAGGACCAAAGCGAAAAGGGGGAGATAGCAGAGAGAAAGAGAGAAAGAGAGAGAGAGAGAGAAGCACCACGTGCTATGGGAACGGGAATGGCTCTCTCTTCTCTCGCCGGGTCTCTCGGCGGTTCAGTTCGAAACGGACCATCAACGATGCCTACACACCATGGCCACACCATCATGACCATCGCGACCGAGTGTAGTGGTCGCCCGTGGTCGCCATGAAGCGTCGTCGTCACTCAAGTCGATGACGCTCTCAAGAGGCAAACGGTTTCTCGGACTTTTCTTCACGCGTTTTCTCTCGTCATTTTTTCGCTTCGTTTCGTTTCGAGAGTGTAGAAAGAT